CGGCTATGAAGTTATAAATAAGGTTCGAAATGCAATGACAAAATGCGTGAGTGGGACGCGGTTTGAATCGCAATATTAGCAGTAGCTATTGTCGTACAAATACGTTGAGAATTGTATACACACTTCAGTGTTGAAAGATATGCTTAAAGTTTGTTATGCAGAAACAGTGCCTAAGGGCTGACCACCAAACGGCGCTTATGACTTCAGCACACATTACTTTCATATTTAAATGCTAAAAGCTTGTTATGCGCTGATTAAAAAAAACAATAAAACAACTTACAAGTAAATTATAACATTTATAACTCAATATAATGATTACTCTTTTAACAACATTAGTATTATTAAATTTTAAGAATTTCATAATTCAAATCATTGGACGTGTTTTCACCTGCATTTTCCAATTAGTGTACATGTTTAGGACGACAGATGTTTCTTGGTGAAGGTTGATAGAAACATCCTAGTGGATGTCAACAACATTTTGGAGGATTGGCGTTTTAACAGTCATCATCATCATCAGCCTATTAATGTCCCCACTGCTGGGGCACAGGCATTCCCTATTACTGGTAATTATGTACAACAGTCAGCTGGTAATTATGTATTTATTTGCCTTGGGGCATTTTTACTTAATGATTTTGTTTATTAATACGTAACAATAAATTTCTAAGGCACTGTTTTTATCTTTGACTGTGATTCGTAATTATCTATGAAGTCACGTTCATAGAATAGAACAAAGGTTCAGATAACGTTATCTAACGCCCGCCAAGACGAAATCGAGCTTTATAGGCTTTTATCTTACGTGCATGCGAGTCATTGAATAACTTACTTCAAGGCCATTACAGTAGACAAATCCCACTGAGGTAATACGACAGATCTTACCTATTAATACTTATAAATGTGAAAGTTTGGTAACTTGGTACCTACTCAATCACGCAAAAACTGCTGGACAGATTTGAATTAAAGGTACACAGGAAGTTGAGATAAAATAACTCTTTTTTCTCGGAAAAAAATTGGGTTCCTGCAGAGCAGCATGTATTTACCCTAGAGCAAAAAGGGCCATGGCCCAGCGGGGCTCTACAATAACCTATACATAATTATTTTTTGGAATATATCAGCTGTAAATAACTATTCAGAAAAGAAATTGAGGGGTTACTTAAGATTATCAACATTTACGTGACAGTATTTATGTGACAGTAAGCAAAGGTTGTATACTATATTTTCTTTCACTTCCAGTTAAAATAAAAGACCTAACTAAGCTTTGCAATATAACTGACTGTGGTGTGCTAATACTAAACAATATAAGAAAATCAAACTTCCATATACAGTTAAGACTGTATATGGAAGTTTAAATTATAAACAATTAATTTTGTGTAAGCCCTAACTACTCTTTCAGAGCCTGGTCAAACAAAACTTCTGTAGATTCACAAATGTGGAAGTATCAGCAAATAGGCTTGTATGGCATGTCAAACAACACAAGTAGAAAATGTAAATTTTCTCTAAACGATTTATTTGTGTATTCCTGAATTGGTAATGAATTCCATAATAATATGCAACTTTACAATTTTCACAATGAATCTAGCAGAAACTTTCTACTTTAGTTATACAAATCTTAATATATATATTTTTTATCATTCAACAGTATTGAAAAATCATAATGTGTTTACCATATTGCAAAATGACAAACAAATATCAACAGTTTTTTTATGTAATCCAGATCCTGAAATATCAATATCACATACAAATACCTTTAATGCTCCATACACACACCTTATGGATGATAGGAACAGTTTAGTAATTTGAAATTTTATCCTCATAGCACTGCTTGATGTATGATATTAATTTCATATTTTCATAATGAGATTTTTAGAAATGATAAAATAAACATCATATTGTCCAGACAAAGTGTGATAAGTATTCAAGTTGCATAATAAATAATGTAACATTAGTTGTAAATGTTTCCATTCCATTTTAATTAGAATACACCAGAAAATCCATTATGATATGACTAATAGACCTGAATAAGTAGTAAGATAATAAAATCATTCAATAGTATAATGTTATTAATACACTCTGGGATATCTTCCTGTTGTAAATGTTACACCATGCAGAAACTGTGATACCATGCTCGAGTGGTTTTCATGCTCCAATACTTTTGCATATAGTGCCTTTGTAAGGATTCCTTCATATTTTTAATGAATATCATATATTAGATGTTGTAATGAATACCAATATCTATGTTTATATGTGTGTGTGTGTGTGTATTGTTACACAAATAAAAATAAAATATAATTATACTCATACAAATACATACTAGAAGCATTAACAAAAAAAAATACAATAAAAAACTTCAAACATACCAAATATTATCAATGTGTATAGAAATGTGACTTATAAACTTTTGGGTGTAACCCGAGCCTGATAGCAGGTTACAGGTGCAGTTAAGAGAGAAGATAAGACCAAAGCCTAAGACAGTCATAAAGATCAAACTACATCTCAAATAAATGACATTAAGATATGCAAAAAATCTGATCACATAAACTTTAAAGCTATAAAACTCAAATAGCAAATGTTGATGGTACAAATTTTACAATTAGTTTAGCACATGTAATTTATTATGTCTAGGGATACAACGATACAGCTATTACGATACCAATATGAATGACAAATACTTTTGATAAAATTTTCTTGATTGAAACATCCAGCAGTTAAATGCTTAATAAACAAAAAAATATAAGAACAAGTTTGTTTTAATTGGACAAAAAAATATTTTATTTATTTATTTGGAATTTAAGCTAAACCCAAACAAATAAAGTTCAAAATCATGTTATAATTATAATGATTTGTAATCACTATAAGAAATATGAATTATATCCTTAGATTTAATAAAAAAGGGAAGACACCGCACTATATTCTATTGCACTATAGTCTATTCACTTTGGCGTGATATAAAATGTAAACAAAGAATCTGAGGTTCTAAGTTTTATAATCTCTAACTATAATTTATTAACAACTTTATACTTAACAGATTAAAATAATAACAAACTCAACAAATAAAACAAGGAAATAAGAATTTAACAAATATGATAGAATATGCACATTCGCATCAACAGGTTGATCGGGAGAGTAAAGAAAGGTAGCGAAAACCAACCAATTACAAAACACAAACTTCAATGTAAAATACTTACATCATGTCTACTCTTAAATTTTGTCGCATTATAATATGTTTTAAGTTTGGGAATGATTGTGTTTTTGGTCTTTTTCATGTCAACTTAAGTTGTTAAAATACTTTTATTAGCAAAATAAAAATATACAAATCTATGATGAGTATGTATTTTAAACATGTGTGAAATATTTTATTTTCTTATTCATATGAGCTTTTAAAATAATTAACTTAATGTTTCACTGCATTTCCTATGTAAACAGTATTTTATCTTTACTTTTGTCAAACGTGACCTATCCTTTATTTGGTTAGTTTACATTTTTTCTCACGCCAATGTGAATAGACTACAGCTTTTCATTAGTGAACCAATAAAATTAGGTTCATGTAGTTTGGTGAGAGGGAGGGGATGGCAGAATTTCTGCTTGAATTCATGTGCTCATCAACCTCCACCTTACAGAACAATAAAAAATGGCTTTTATTGGTGTTGTGTTTCAGTCAATGAGAATCCATTTAACAATGGTACCCTGGAAACTCGCCAGGGCTTCATTGTTAAAGGGATAGAGATAAGCAAGAGCACAAATAATATTTTAGGATTGCATATATGTCATTCAGTATGGTTCCAGGGTTCCCTGAGGTTGAAGATTGAGTCAGGGTAGGTAACAGCATGAGTGATATCATTGGTATCAAAATCGTTCACAGGCTATAGTGGCCACTTACCATCAGGCTGGCCCTATGCTTATCTGCAACGCTTTTACCACAAAAAAGAAAACATCTATATTTCGCTTTAGCACACTTTCATTTTTTGTCTTCAATGCTGTAAAAAGATCACAAATACAAGAACAAGAAACTAATTCCACAGCATATCTTTTAATTTGTAATACTTTAGAACAATTTCTTCTTCAAAACCACTATTTGTTTTGAATGTAATTCGCAATTGATATCAAGAAAAGGACAAAATAATAGAATTAATCTGTTTTAAGAAGGAGAAAAAGCAACTGCAGTTGTTTGCATAGCAATGCAGAACTTGCAGATTTGCTTGTGCTGAGGTGGAATATATTGCTTGTGTGTACTTGTGTGAATGACTTATATGTAGTTAAATAAAACTAGTTTTTACGGGTTAATGCACGAAACTTTATTTATTTATTGACGTTTCGCAGCCTTTTCAGGTCTGCATCGTCAGAATAATGATTTTTTATTTAAAATTTTTAATGATTAGATTAGACAAACAAAGAAAAGTTTTCAAGCATTCAGTTGACCCTTTTTGTTTTGAACCAAAATAGGGATAACCAGTACCTATTAATATTTCTACAATTATTAAAAATCATGAAAAAGGTTCTTGAGAATCTTTTAACAAGAACATCGTAAAACAAAGACCATTAACCTAATACAATACTACTAAGGTCAACGAAGCCGCAAAAAATCTACATAACCAGGCCACTTCCTAGTAGTAGAAAAAAAACTAATTTAATGTAAAATGTGCATACCTACGCCTCAAAACTTAATACTTTGCAAATCTGAGAGAGCGTATATTATATCTACTATTCAGCACCAAGCAGTAATCGGATCCCTAATTTCATGAGAAGCTAGCATACCAAAGTTTAAATACATTACAAAGCTCGATAAATAGATCATAACCTAGAACCGACCTAATACAGTGGATAAAATAAAATCATCGGCGAACTCTTATAAACTATTATGTAAAAATCAACTTCTTAATGTGTGTAATAACATAAATGTATAAAAAAATTCAAATTACATGACACAAGAGAATGGCGGGTGGTAGCCACAATGGCGCGGTTATTGTATTACTGTAATTGGGTGTGCAATCAAATACAATACTTACTAGGATTCTTCACTGCAAAACCTAAGATGTTTTAAAGTAGACACTAACTATATTAGCACAAAACACGCGAAATTACAAATTTATATTTTGTGAACGACGAGCGCGTCTATCGTGCCGCGTAATTTTTTAAAATGCTTTTTACTAGTGATGTGAGCTTGTCATGGCGTCATTAAATCGATTACACGTAATCGGTATAATTGTTTAACCGTGGGTAAAACACTTTGAGTTTCTATTAAAAGGGAGTAAGTAGCCCTTAGCACTTCATTCCATACAAATGTTTATGTCAATTCTGGCGGGAGACAAGCACACTTACGAAAATATTATATAATAAAACACAAGTTTAATGATGCTATGTACGCACAGTTCAAAAATCACGCCACACAAACAAAAAAATGCAGACACGCTAACAATTTTTATGTAATTGTTCGAGCTTAAAGAAACACACAATTTAGATTTGGGGCATTAAACCATATATACCGATAATTATTTAAGTAAAATAAATTTCTTTTTATACAAAAGCTTGTTAAAAAGAGCCATATAACTAATATAAAATTGAAGAAAAAAAATTACAACAAAAGGGCACAGGGGGACCCGTACCATATGTGGTACAATAAGACCATAAGCATACAAAACATTTGATATTACGACACAATTATTTACTTATTTTTTTGAATGGTAAATAATATAATATTCCACGTCTACACCAATATTGCACTTAACACACCTTGTTGAATATTATTTGTGACATTGTCCACACCTGGTTCTCTTTTCTTGCATAGCAACGTAGTGCTCTTTACCGCCAACCAAAGTTGGTTGTTGATGGACTCAGATTTGCCACGCCACACAGTGCCACGTACGAAGGAACACCATTTCGCCACGTTTAAAAAAACATCGTTTGAGAGACAAGAAACTAAAGAACGTTCATTAGGTGTAAAATATATTCGGAAGTGTCCAACCATGTTTCATACTACACTGACGTCAGAGCTTATCTGTTACAGCCATAACATTTGATAAAATTAGATTTTTTTTCTATGACAAATTAACTTTTCATATTATTAATTATAATGTATTAAAAACGGATATCATAGCGCCCCACAACTATAGGTATATGATAATATAATTAGCAAATTGGTACTCGTTATTAAAGCACTTAAATAATATCACCATATATGATTATATCCGGCGTTTATATCTAATATAAAACAAAGTCGTATTAGTTAGAGTACTTAAAAGCTCAAGAACGGCTGAGCCGACTTTTATAAGACTTGATTTTTTTGGTTTCGTCTGGGCCTCGAATAGCAGAATAACTAATAAAATATAGGGAAAATCACGGAAAAGGTTATGCAGAAAATCAATATCCAATAAATGAATTATTATTTGGTATTCCGCCACCTTCCACAATTAACAACTCACGCCACTCAAGTATTACCACAAAACAGTGTGCCGTCCTTAGTTAATACATAATAGTAATCGAAAGGTATGAATGTGGGAAAATCGACTACCCAATCAATAGATATTATGACTATTGATTTCTTATGTTTTCAAGTAAACAATTCCGTAAATAAAACTATTTTTACTAAACTAATTTCCCAAGAAGTGTTAAGATAATTAGTGAGACTACTACTTTAAGGCGGCACGAATTTCAGCTAGTTATGTATAAAAATAAGCGGGAGAATATATTGGGAGCCAGTAAACTACAGACCAGAATGAAATAAAACAGAAAGTTAGAGTTATTTTAATCTGTCTCCTCGAATCTTTATTTTCAGTTTGTTTTTTTACCATATTCTTACCTATAGTCTTGGCAAACTGTGATGACCGTTTTGACACATTATAATAGTGACGGGGAAAAATCAGTCTGATTCGAATTTAACATAATCCAATAAATGTTACAGCTAGGTATTATATTATTGAAATTTAAACTAATATTGCAAGTATCAGCTGATCAAAAAGATGGAATAAAACATAATGTAAATGTTAAATTACGCTCAGCGATACTATATGCAGTGACCGTATTGACTTAAAAAAAATACATTTCTAATATAGAAAAGAACAAATTCGGAATCCAAGTTATGTTGTAAAGAAGGTCATTATAATTTCAAATAATAACGACAAATAGTTATATAAGCCGGGTTTCATGGCGTCGCCGACTCGAGAGGTCCCGGGTTTGAATCCCGGTGGGGGCAGATGTTTGTGTGATGAATACAAGCATTTGTACTCCAGTCATGGATGTTTAATATGTATTTCAGATAAATATACTTATATATGTACAATATATAAATCCTATCCGTTACCCTAGTATTCCATAACACAAACCTTTACAGTGCTAGGCTAATTGGTGTGAATGTTGGAAATATTTATTTATTTATTATAAATAGTTCTTAATGATAAATATAATAATACAGTCAAATAATTTATTTTACGATATCCTTTATAGAGTCTGTCAAATAGCGGGGTATATATATATATATATATATATAAATTTGACATTAGTCTCTCCTTTTCATTCTGTATAGAGAATGACAAGGAAACAGTGGTGTCGATTCTAGCACGATTCTCTAAACCTAAACTTAAATTTGACAGCAGTATATCCTTGTCATTCTCTATGCAGAATGAAAAAGAGAGATTGATGTTAAATTTAGTTTTAAGATTAGAGAATCACGCCAGAATTGGCACCAGTGTTGTCAAATTTAAGTTTAGTTTAGAGAATCGTGCCAGAATCAACACCACTGTTGTCAAATTTAAGTTTAGTTTAGAGAATCGTGCCAGAATCGACACCACTGTTGTCAAATTTAAGTTTAGTTTAGAGAATCGTGCCAGAATCGACACCATTGAAGAACAATAATTATTTGTTTCAAGTTTCGAACTAATTTTGAATTTCGAATATGAAACTTCATATGCGCACAAACGTCAAAACGGCCATAATAGTGTGCCACCACGATAGTAGTTCAACTCTGCAAAGCAGGCCTCTTATTAATCTGTGAAGCAGGCGACACAGGTACGGAGAAATAGTCTCATTTGCTCAAAGGTAGCACTAACGTGCTGGTGCTGGTGGCAACGAGGGAACAACGGCTGTATATATTAGTATTAATGGGAAGAAAAGCTCTTTTGAAGTTTGAATTGATAGTCTTTCCTAGTCTATTTCACCGGGTCTTGATGTTAAAACTAATCGGTTTCTCGCTTGCTGACATGTTGATATTAATCGGTCACGGTTACCTGATGATATAACGTGCATCCCTATAAAAACTGTCATTGTCAAAAATACCATGTGCGATTCTGAAAGGCCAACAAAACCTAAAAATTAATTAATGTGCTAGGTTCCAAGGTATTCTTTAACATGGATTACGTTGTTGGTGGTGTAGCAGCATTGATATCAGGGAACGTTACTCCGAACCGGCCGAAGCTTGTAAGGAGGGCTTTAACCCCCACTAAACACCAGCCATCTCCGAACGTTACTCCCAAAAGTGAAGTTATAGACGATCGTTCAATATTTCTCTCGCCTTCGGTTCAGAAGAAGAAAGCTATAGTCAAGAAGTCACCTAAGAGAATATTTCAAAACCCCGACTTGGATGTGACTGGTGATGGAGAGAATACATCTAGCCCCAAAGCTGATAAGGTTAAAAAACACTTACAAGAAGATTTAGAGGGCGAAAACAATCCAAACGTTAGTTTTAAAAATAAATCACCTAAAAATAAACTACAAAAAATTGATATTAAAAATAATCAGTCAGAAGAAACAGAAAGTCCGCAGAGTGCTAATGAAAACACTCCAAAAAAGAAAAAGAAAAGAAACAGTACGACAGAAGATCGAGACTCAGAAAAAAACATTCTTACGAAGAAAACTGAGGAAATTGATGGTAAACTTGGCGGTGAACAGAAAACTGTCACAACAAAAAAGGGTAAGAAAAAAGTTGCATCTAATGTTTCGGTTAATAACAATAATGATTTAGAATTATCAGAAAATGTGAATATTCAAAGCCCCAAGAAGAAAAAGAAAAAGAAAAGATCTGAATCTGGCAGCAATCAGGTAAAATCAAAAACAGAAATCCAAGAAGAATCTACAATTTCTGTAACCAGTGACAAAAAAAATAAGAAATCTAAAAAGAAACAGCATAAAAAGGACACTTTTGTCAATCCTAATGCGATCACCAATGAAGACACTGATTCTGAACACGAGTCAGACAATGAGATTCTTTCAGAGAATGAAGAAGCTAATAAGGAAATTCTTAAAAATGTATCTTCTGAGGAAAGTTCTGATGAGGAGGAGCCTAAACCTAAAGAGAAGAAAATTGAACAAAAAGAGAAGAGTTATGAAGAAAGAAATCAAGAGGAAGTAAAACGGACACTGTTTGTGGGAAATGTACCATTTAGTAAGAATTGCAAGAAAGTAATCAAAAGACTTTTTAGTAAATATGGAGCTATTGAAACTGTACGGTAGGTTATGCTTGTTACTTCGTTGAAAAATTACATCTAAATTATTATTTAATTCTGATTTTAAAACCAGATAAGATAAGGAAATTAATGGTGTTAAGTTTAGGTTTGATTCTCTAAACCTAAACTTAAATTTGACAACAGTGATCATACAATGATCACTGTTGTTGATTCTCTACACATAATGAAAAAAGAGACTGATGTTAAATTAAGTTTTTAGTTTAGAGTTTTTTTTTTATAAATATTATTTAAAGCAAAATCTTGGTCTTATTTTTTTATTAAAGATGTAACCTCATATTTTCCTTCTTTTGTTATTTAAATATCGAACTACATATTCTGTGAATTTTTTTTAGAGAAATAGAACTTTATGTGGCTTGATACTGTTTCAGGATTCGCACAGTACCAGTTAAGGATGCACGAGTTACACCCAAGTTAGCTGTCATAAAGAATGAGATTCATCCTGAACGCACCACTGTCAATTTATATGTAAAGTTTCAAGATGAATCTTCTGTTCATAAGGTAAATTGTACTTTCACATAAAAGTGGATTTTGTTTTGTTGTTGATGTTGAGTTGATGCCATATCCTTTCCAATCCGGAAGCTAAAAAATATCCTCCAACAGCCTATAGTTTCGGAGATATACTCCCTGTCTCACGCCTAATTGCAGTTAAATAGGATAGCTTAGAGGCCTTTTTTTTTCATAATAGTCAAATTTTGTATGAAAAAAGCTAGTTTGTTGTTATGTCCGATAAGGGTGCTGCTTAGTTTTCATAGAAACTGCGATTCCTTATGGAGCTGTCAAGAACTCGTGTTTGGGACTCAGTAATAGAACTGACATAATGGCGTTTTACTTAAGGTACCTTAATACCTTGACGTACCTGCATAATCTACTTGCTCCATCAGAGAGACTGCAGCACTGTCCAGTTCTCAATCATATCAAAAGCTTTCTCCTAGTACAGCATTGCAGGTACCTCGGTTATCTGTATAATCTGCTGCAGATTATGAATGTGGTGTATGGTACTGAAAGTTTTTCGGAAACCAGCATGTTCGGGATGTTTAAAAATTTTCAAATCTGCGAGCAAGACAATTTGAATAACTCATCACAACAACTTGTAATAAACATGGTTCAGTAGTGAGATTGATTGATAGTTCTTCAAGAGTGTATTATTAATCTTTTTGAATAATAGAAAAACCTCACTTTTGGTCCATAAATGTGGCGTTCGGCCTACAACGGTTATGGAATCGAATACTTCTGGAGGATTATAAATATTGGCTTATCACCCACTCTCAGACGTTCTGTAGTGATTCCACTATCGCCCGCCGCCTTGTTTCAGAGCCACACTAATCTCATACAGGCTGTCAGGTCCGTGACATCTTCGGTATAGTATCGGGTAAGCTTGGCTAGGGATTTTTGACCTTGCTTTCAACAGCTACTTGTGTGGAATTAACGAAAGATCCTCTCAATTGTCCTTAGCCTTCCTTCAAAAAATTTTTGAAACGCATTTTTCTTGTTTTGTATGCATTTTAGAAACTGTTTTTTCGACCATAATTGTAGAGGGCGTTGAGTACTACAATTTATGTCATTGTTGCAATCTCGTACAATCAAAAAATGCGCATTGTAGGTGGCGCTATTTTTTTTCCAATCATGAATAAAAAAAAAAAAAAATTTTAGTAGAAATTATATTACCGTCGTCAGTTGTCTTTGCCCAATAAACTGATCTCTAGCAAACACTTTGCAGACCTTGTTCCACTCTATAGCTACTTCAATACGATTAATATTAAATTGGCGAAGGTCACTCGTCTGCCTATTTAACCAACTGATGCAAATCAATATTTGCATTGGCTCAGTTCTGTAACCTTGTTTCATTTCGCTGTTCTAAGTTCAATTGTAGCCTTAGTTTCTTTATTCTGGTACAGCAGGTTTTGAAATGCTTAGGTCCACTAGCAGTAATTTTGCTAAATCTCAATTTAACGGAAACTAGATTTAGCCCATATAATAATGTCAAATTGACATTGACATTTAGTCATTTTTCTATGGGACAAACCTAGTTTTAGTTCAATCTAAATTAAGCAAATTTGCTGCAAGTGAGTCTTAAACCCTACCACACGTAGATCATAAACATTTTCATCACACAAGCTGTTTCAAGTGCTTCAATTCAATTAAATTTTTGCTGTAATCAGCTGTAATAAGCCCTAATGGGCTGCGTCTCATTACTACATGATTCTGCCAATGTCTGGGTTAAAGGAGACAAGGTATATGCTGAGCCTGTACAGTTTTGTTGATTTTGTGCAGTATTTCGACTGCAGACTCGTTGAGTATCTGTAACAACACATAGACAGACATTTGTGATACCAGGCACTCATGCATTGAATATGGACTCACAGATAAATATATGTATTAGTATAGTATGACTAGGGTAAGAGAAGGAATTTTGTTGTGGTACTACAGTTAAAGTTTTATATTATTTTGTTTGAGGAACTTGCACAGTATATAAATTAAGGGGGATTGTACTTGAGTTAGCATAAAATTAATATTAATGGGGTGGCTTGCCTTTTTTGGGAATGAATTATAGAGGGGAACAGAAATTAATTCTTTAGGAAAATGAGCATAAATATTCAATAATTGTAGATTGCTTAAATTACTGTGAAAATTCATTAACTATATAATTAATTTCAGGCACTAGCAGAAAACAACACAGTTATAGATGGTTGTCACTTAAGAGTGTCTCGTAGTGACTCAACAGGAGCAGAACACGATCCACGTAACGCTGTATTTGTTGGTAATATACCATTTGCATTGGAAGACGAAGCGCTAAGAGAGAGATTTGAGAAGTGTGGAGAGATTGTCTCAGTTAGAATCATTCGTGATAAGAAAACAAATGCTGGAAAAGGTTAAACAGTTTTTTTTATTTATTAAGCACACTTTTGCCTCATATACAAAGTAATAAAATTATCTGTAATGTAATAAATATGCCTTCAGCATATAGGCACATCAGTGAAAATGGTCTGCAATGACCGTAACAAAATGTGTCACAGACAAACACAGCATCAACTGGTGCCATTGACCAATAGGGTCAACTCATAGGATCTGTTTAAGAGCGGGTGAAGCTCCCCGCTTCACTGCACCACCTTCACGGGTAGAAGATTCATTTAATAACAATTAATTGCAACACTACATGATATAGGCACATCAATGAAATTCTGCTCGCCCATAATATAACAAACAATTTTATTATTTATACCTAATTTGAGCATACACTATTTGTTAAGTAATTTGTTTCTATTTCAGGGTTTGGTTATGTTAATTTTGCCTCAAAGGATGGAGTAGAACTAGCCTTGGGTCTGTCCGATGAAGATCTTATAATAAAGAACAAGGTATTACGAGTAAAACGCTGCACTCAGTCAACCCATAAAAAGAAGCAACAATCTGGGAAGAATTTGAATGTCAAAAACCAAGGTCATAACATGCAGGGCACGAATCAGAATAAGTTTGGTGGGAGAGGTCCTAAGCAGTGGGAACAGAAGGACGGGATGAGTGAAGGAGCTCAAAGAAGGATAATGAAAAAAAGGAAGAGTCAGGTATCTATCTATTTTTACTGCTTGTCAGTCCCAATGTTTTTTAGAGTTTTAAAACTTTCCATACTAGTATGAGATTTACAAGTTGCTCTTATAAAGTTCAAGACATATATTCAACAGAGTATTGCTTTGACAATAGATCCTTTTGTTTGAAAGGTAACAACTACACATTGAGATATGTGTATGCTGTTTATGATAATTTGGCAGTGTGCAGCTCCGAACATATTTCGGTGGAAAAGCATTACAGCAACTGATTGCTACAGATTTGTTTGCTGAATTAAATATTAAATTACTTAAAAAGCTTACACCACAATACACAACTCCATTTCTGTTTGATCCACGATAAATATAATGATATTCTTAATTCAATGCTTAAGAGATTCAGGCCTGATGATTACAAATATTAATACTATTCACAGGAGATTGGCGACGGGCCAAGCGAGAAGAAGATGAAACACATTGATCAACCGCAGAAGGAGAAGAAGACGAGGAAAGAGTTTGTTGGAATGACTGCTGAGAAAAAGAAGGTAACATTTACAATATTGAAATAAGTATATGTTGCGTTGTTTCCATTGACAAATTGAGCAAGAGAGCATTTGTTCACTGAGTTCAGAATATACGAATTTTATGAACTCCGTCGCCCGCTCTAATATTTCCACTTACCAATCGAAGAAATGTTTGTTCGCTTAGAACTGTTTTGAGCACTAATTTTTGTTTGGTATCGCCATGTCTCAGGTTCTAGATTTGATTCCTACTACCTTAGTATAATACCGGCACTTCGCATAGCTATTCGTAAAGAAGAATGGCGAACTTCCATATAGTTTGAGACCCAGACTTCAAGGCCCCGTTCATGAATGAAACTTATAGATTTTCGTACTGCTAAATAAGACTAACAAAAAAGTCATTTGACATAATCAATTAAAGCTAGCACAAAAAGATATAAGTAGTAGGATAAATATTAAAAGTGAGATTATGTTTAACTTAGTTGTATTACTTACAATTATGTGTTTCTATTATAGGTAAGTATATAATAATATGATGTATTTATAATGTGATTTTCATGAATTTGTTGTTTGTATCATATTTTCTTCTTCTCTATACAAAAACGCGACATCATAGACAGAAAAATCATAATAAAATATTCTACGTAAAATAAACACCGAAACGAACGAAACAACAAAAAATTGACATTATTTATTGATTTTAAAAATATTTTTCCGTTTCACAGAATTAAAAAACCAATATCTGCTTATATATTAGAAAAATGTTTAAAAATAAAGTATTTTCTTCTTTGTTTTGATGACGTTAACTTCTTTTGTTTAATTTATCAAATAATTAAAATAATTTAGAGTCATATAGTGAGCAATAGCTGCTATTGTTATGTTATTCTAAAGTAAAACTACTGCATAATCCGAAACTTCGGCTACCAGGGGGGGCTCTCTCATAATCTTACAGAACGATCTTAAATACAAAGAATGTTCAAATATTGTTTCACTTTCAATTGAACGAAATATTGAACTATCTTGTGTGGAACTTGATGAAATGATCATAATATGTGTATATTAACCCCCATCTGGGAATTATACTCAATTTGAGTCCGCTATGGAAGACGCTTTCAACATAGTTTACTTCTTAGTCGTTCACTCTTGTCAGAGTGGTCGTGGTCATGTGCCGGTCAGAATATTGCGCCACCGCTTCCATCGTGATGCGACGCCATGTTGCTCTGTGTTTTGCAGAGTGGGAGTTGTCGTTGATGCTGGATCGTGTGACAGATTTGATGAGATCCGTCCACCGTGTAGGAGAGCGTCCACGTGATCTTTTGCCCTCGACTTTGCCTTGCACCACCAATCGTTCCATAGATTCCTCGTTACGGGTAATGTGCCCAAAGAACTTGAGGATACGTATTTGCACAGTCGACGATAACCTCTTTTTAATTTGGAGTTCTTTTAGAATCGAAACATTGGTTCGGTGCGCAGTCCACGGGATGCGAAGCATGCGTCTCCAGCACCACATTTCCAGAGCGTCAATCTTGCGACGGTCTCGCATCCTCAGCGTCCACGTCTCAGCTCCGTATAGAAAGATTGGAAAGACCAGGCATCTCATTAGTCGAACCTTTGTGTTTCTGGTTATTCTGCGGTCCTTCCAAATCTTGGTGAGTTTTTCCACTGAGGTTATGGCGCAACGTCTCCGGATTTCGTCCTCGCAACTTCCAGCGTTGGTGATCGTGGATCCTAGATACACGTAGCTGTTAACCACCTCGCATCCCGCTATAACTTTGACATCTGGTTGGTTAATGTCAGCACGATCCACGATCATCATTTTCGTCTTATCACGGTTGAATGCTAGTCCAAAATCCATGGCCGTGGTCTCAAGACGAAGAAGCAGAGTTTCAATTTCATCTTTGGTTGACGCTAGGAGAGTAGTATCATCCGCATATCTTAAATTTGATATTTTACGTCCTCCCACAGACATTCCCTCATTCCAGTCTTCGAGAACGATCCGCATGATGTACTCTGTGTATATGTTAAATAATATCGGACACAATATACAGCCCTGTCTAACGCCAGCTTGCGTTTTGAAACGTTCGGAGTCAAACTCGTCAACTCGAACTGCGGCTGTGCCATCTTCATACAGACGTCTAATGAGATGTACGAGATGTTGTGGTACACCCATTTCCGTCAGGACTCTCCACAGTTTCCACCACTTGACTTTTCTAAAGTCAACGAAACATACATAGAGAACGATGTTGAACTCCCGAGTCTTCTCTACAATTTGTCGCATTATGAGTAGCTGTTCTCTTGCACCTCGGCCCTTCACGAAACCAGCTTGCTCGGAGGCGATTTCTCGAGATAAGTAGGTTTGAAGCCTCGTGTTGATAATATGCAACATTATTTTGCTTGCGTGATATATGAGAGAAATTAGTCTGTAGTTATTGCATTTTTTTGTTGATCCTTTTTTATGAAGTGGAATGAAAATGGAATGAGACCAATCGCTCGGCCAAACTCCAGTATCCCAAATTCGGCGGCAGATTGTGTGCAATATGTCTACTCCGATCTCCCCCATAGCCTGTATTGTTTCAATCGGGATCTCATCAAAACCCACAGCCTTATTCCGCTTAAGGTGTTTAATGGCTGCGCGCACTTCATCTTTCAGTGGCATTGGTTCTTGCTCATACGCTTCTTCATGAATCGCCGCAATGTCTGCTGTCTTCTCTTCGAAAAGAGATTTACAATAGTCTTTCCAGACGCCAACAATCTCCTTTATGTCTGTGATGGTTTTTCCCGATAGCCAATGGCCCAAGTCTTTGGTTTGAATTGACGGGTTACAAGTCTGATTTTCATGTGTAAGTCCTTGGTTTCAAACTTTTGAGAATGTCGTTCAACCTCTGCGCATATAGATTGTAGCGCTGTATTGCGGTATCGGCGACAAGCGGCTTGTATGTTGGAACTCATAGCATTAAGTTCTTGTGTTGTGGCACCATTAGCTTTTAGGTTTCTACGTTTTTCGACTAGGTTCCAGGTATCAGTCGACATCCAGTGCTGCCTCTTTTTATTAGGTCTATTGTTAGGTTGTGATACGCTTACAGCGTCTTTGATAAGTTGCACGGCTGATTTCCAGAGATCGTCAACGTTTCCTTCTTCGCTATATTGTTCGTGCCAGCGTTGTTCTTGTAGCGATTGAACAAATAAGTCCTTGTCAGTCAGTTCTATGCGTTTGGGTTTTTTTATGACTATGGGTTTACGCATTCTGATCTTCATGTCACACACAAGAAGTTGGTGGTCAGACATAACGTCGGCTCCTGGCAGTGTGTGTGCGTTGGTTATTGAGCTTCTCCATCTTGCTTGGATCAAAATGTAATCGATCTGGTTGCGATATTCTCCATTAGGCGATGTCCAGGTGTACAGTCTTCTTGGGTGGTGTTTGAAGGTTGTATTCATTAGGGTGAAATTATTGTCTGCTGCAAATTCGATAAGGCGCTCTCCTCTATTGTTCCTGCTTCCAAGACCATAGGAACCTACAATGTTGCGCAACCCCACATCATAAGCAGTGGCTCCTACCTTAGCATTAAAGTCACCGATAATCATTAGGATTTCTCTTTTTGGTATGCCATTAATACACCCCTCCAGTGTGTTATAAAAGTCCTCGATTTCTTCTTGTGGAGCGGCACTTGTGGGGGCGTATACCTGGATAACATTTAGCGCACATGGTGAAGCATTGAGTTTCATGAAAATTATTCTCTCGCTGACGGGGTTGTACCCCAGGACAGACCCCACCAAGGACGCATGTAGTGCAATAGCCACTCCGGCGAAACTGGATGATTCGTTTCCTGAGAGAAATATAGTGTGTTTCTCTACTTTTCTGTGGCCACTCTCTCCCAGTGCGTCTCACTAATTCCTGAAATAAAAGTATTGCATCTTTCGAGTTCGTGATCTAAAACATGGAGCTTTCCTTCGTCATTGAGGCCTCTTACATTCCATGTTCCGACACGAATATACTGGCGTAGTTGGATTTTAGTTCTTCCAGTAGCATAGTTTCCATGGGGAGTCTGGTCGCCTACTACCACATGGCCGGTAACCAATTTCACACTCTGGCACCCGGGCAGCTCAGAGCGCCGGTCGCTACTCGGGTCGCTCGGCATACGTTTCTTCTTATGTGACCTTCTCATGACTCTCGTGGGAACTTAGTGCAGTGGTTTCCCGTTGCCTTCTGCACCAGGACTTTAGGGGATATTTGGGCCTCTGACGCCTCTGACGCCTCTTCCGTACAGGTTGCCCCGCCGGGTGTGTATGGTTATACCGCCATTGCTCGGTCGCCAGAGCCCCGTCAGTTGTCTAGCAGGGAGCACCACGGTAATCAATTGGTTACCGCCATCATACGACGCGTGCAGGTGGGGTTGACAATTGGGTCGGTAGAGCTGTTATTCCGTTCCCCCCTTACTCCCCTTAATATAGTATGTAAATGTAATAAAGTGCTTGTTGTATGTGGTGATTTTAATATAAATATTTTAGTTAAGTGTCCATTAGTGGGTAGGTTTCTAAACTTATTTAAATCATATAACTTGGAGCATATCTTCTTTGAGCCTACCCGCATCACACATACATCAGCAACCTGTTTGGATAATATTTTTTGTAATAGGAAACTTTTTAATAAACCAAAAATTAATTGTATTAATTCTGATCATAGTGGACAATCAGCCTCTCTTGAACACCATCATGCTTCAGACAAACATGACCTAACTTATAGACCAATTACACAAACGGGTATAAATAAATTTAAAGATAGTGTTTATCATAAAATGTCAGACTTACCAGTTTGTAATAATAATAATATTTTGTATAAAGATTTATTCAATTTAATTAAAGATGAATTTAATAAAATATTCAAACGCAAATTAATTAAATGTCATAGCTCTAAAAAGAAAGGACAATGGCGAAATATTTGTTTAAGTAAATCTTTAGCGTCTATAGATGTCATTATCAGAAATGTTATTAAAATAATCTCAAAAGATTTATTAAACAATTGACGA